TTTTCCCATGTCAACTATCACATAATTCACAATAAAACATTAAAAAAACAACAACACTATACAGGGTTGCTATGAGTAGGAACTGACTCAATGGCATTTAACAACAGCAAAAAATGATACTTAGAACTTAACTAGGTAAAACTGTTTGGTGGTATTAATTCCTGCTGAATTCAGGAATAAGCAAATAATTTCTGTATGTATAAAATCATAAGCCTCTACTCTATTTTCCTTGCTTAGAACAAGAACTTAAAATACGATTAGGGGAACAGAAATGTATTGTGTTTACAATCTTCTGCTGCTTTATAGAACCACTTGGAAATTCCAGTAGATCAGCTGATGCTAGAACTTAGTATGTCAGAGCATGCTCACAAAAGAAAACAGGTGAGATTTTATCCATCATATTCTTAAAGTTTTTTGTGTTTTTTTTTTAATTCACACAGTTACTAAAGTAATGACCGTAATTTGTACATTACCAGAATAGTAAAGAAAGCATGTTTCAGCTATGGAGTTACCCTCTTAATGAAGGAAGTGGCATGAAGAACAGGTAAGAGAACCTTTATTTTTGCAAAACCCAAAATTAATGAGGTAAATTTAAATGCAGAGTAGTCAACTACCAAAATACAAGGATAAAAACCAACTAGAAAAGAACAGTACTGTGTGTGAACAGTGGGAAATAATGGAACGTCACCCTAAACTTGAAAGTGGCTGGAAGACACTACAGATAAAATCTGAATATGCCCTTACAGTGAAGTGTGGATAAAGTTTAGTTCTCATTGAAGGGAAAAGAAACTAGTAGAAAAGTGACATTAGGTGTTCTAGGAACTATTTACATTCCTTGCATGTGTAACTGTTGAGCACAATCATTCCATAAGGTACTAATTCCACACCCCTGTTGTACAGTTGAGGGCACTGAGGCGCAGTTCCAAGTGTGACTAACCCAGTCATACAACCAATGAGTGGTAAACCCTTTGTCAGGAAGTTGATTCCGACTCACAGTGGGCCCATAGGAAAGAACAGAGCTGCCCCCAAGGGGTTCTAAGGCTGTGGCCCTGAAAGAAGACTGCCGTATCTTCCTACCTGGGAGTGGCTGGTGAGTTTGAACCACTGGCCTTTTGGTTAGCAGCCGTGTGTCACCAGGGCTCCTTTGGATGATGAAACCAGTATGTAGGAAGTAGCTTAATTTAGAGTGTAGACTCACTGCCACTGTGAGACACCACCTGGGTCTGAGTTGTTTTTATTTCTTAAATTTTAAAGTGTGTATTGGACCATCCTCGTGTGCTTTAAAATGCAGGGTACTACCGTTTGGAGGAGAGTGAGTACTGACTGAGTATCCGCTAGTTGTGGCTTTTGTTCCCAGTGTGTTATATCAGGGAGAGCCCCAGTTCTCGGCTTTCTTTTTTTATCTAGTTATGACAGTAAGGTGGTTTACTTGATAGCATAGGATTTACCTCTGTGAGGCCCAGGTAAAGCTCACCTCAATGTTAACATTCTAAGGGACTGCTAGAACCGACAGATAGAAAAAGCGATTTTTAAGAGAAAACTCCCCTTGGAGCAAGGATTTTCAAGGTAACTGTTCAAATGACGAGTGGTATTTCCAGAATAAAATTTTATCGACCTATGGAACTGAGGCTCTGGTAGCGTAGTGGTTACGAATCAGGCTGCGAACCTTAAGGTCAGCGGTTCGAAACTACCAGCCGCTCCG